GTCATGACACTATTTGATTAACACAACTTTCTACGTCACCACAAGTTGCTGTATTATGTCAGAATCTGGGTTCTGGTGTCACCGGCGCCCCATAAGAACAATAATCCTGGAGTTTGTCTTGCTTTTAAGAAAAGTTCTCGCCTCCAAATTTCTCTCCACATTCTAACTTGTTCTTGCAGAACTAGGGCCTGAGTTCTGTGCTGTGTGTTCGCCCTACATTCACAGCAGTCCAGTCCAATGTTATCGCCAGCTGCTGTCTGTACCTCTAATTATAGCCGGTGCAGTGCAGGCTCCCAGGGCAAGGCTGGGGGTCAGGTTACTCCTTCCCACAGCTCCCCTCCTTCAAACTGGGCCTCGGAAAACAGCTTCTGACGGGGCTTAAAAACTCACACGGGGCTCGGCCAGATATTTATTCGCTTTATTTACTCTTCGGTTTGACCTCTGTTTGACAAGCCCGGCGCACTCAGGAGGAAATATGTTTCCCCGGGAGGACGTGCAGGAAGGTTTAAAGCACTTTATTCTCCGAGTCAAGGACGCGGCGCGAATGCGTTTCGGCGTCTCTGCAAAGTCTCGCAACTCCCATTAAAGCGCGAAACGCAATAAAAGAGATGAATATACAGGTGTGGAGGAAGCAGAGGAGATCAGAGACGTGGAAACCAGCCTCTCGGAGGAGGAAGCTCCATCATTAAAACATGATTAATGCGCTCTGAGACTTTAAGACCTTTATCTCCTCACTTTATTCCAGACTTCTGCGCCGGTTCCTGCCGTCCCTCTTTGCATTCCTGCCTTCCGCCCTCCCTCCACGCCTTCATCTCTCTATTTTGGACCCTCAGAGGGGGGCAGGGAGGCTCTCGGTGGCTCGACCCTTCCTCCCTTTCTGCTGCGTTTAACCGTTCAAACTCTCCAAACCGCCCGATTTCATAATTTCCTGGAACCTTCAGGAGCAACTTTAACAAGACCGGGGACGATAAAACCCACAACTGTTTATTGGATTTCCTTCCATTTTTCTCCTTTAGGGTATTTTTAGCCGAGCTTTTTTTTTATTTTTTTCTCTCTCTCTCTCAATCAGCCGGGGCTCGACCGAGGAGGATTTAACGAAGGAGTTACATGCTTGTTTCTATGGTAACGCAGCGTTTCCAGCGCCTTTGAAGGACCGAAGGTTATCAGCGAGCATCCAGCAAACTCTGAAGGTACTTTTAACAAAATCCATTTCGCTCCAGATGAACTTTAGAATAATGATCTGATGGCGGCGCGGCAGAACTCTCAGGGTCTCTGCTCGGTTCACACTATTATTCTCTCTCATTGTCATTTAAAGGCTCTGCTAAAGGCTGTAACTGTCAGCAACAGGAGAAAAAAACACTGTAAGCCGCTCCTGTTGATATATTAGAGGTTGCTCCGTTGGCTTTTTGAAGAATAAATCCAGTCGAATCCATTTGTGTTTTCACATTTGTTAGATTTGTAGTGATTTTGTGGGTTTGAGTTTTACTTTTACGGATCATTAACGAGCCGAGTTTTGTGTGAAATTAGATAAAAACCTAGAAATGTCCTCGTTATTAGACATTAGAGGGCACTTTATGCAGTTTGTGTTTAATTTGAAAATGACCTTAATGTGAATATTCATGTGTGTGTGGTTAGAACATGATCTGAGTTGCTCCTGATGTATTTTTCCTCACTGTTGGCTCTTTTAACCCTATTCAGGGTTCTTTTGGGTTCTTTTGGACCCCGGGCCATTTTGTTTAGGTGACAGCTATTGTTTTTTATTTTTGAAGATTTTTTTTTTTTTTATATAAGAAGAGGAACGTTTGTCGTGTATTTGGAACCAACAATCCGTCAACTTATCAGTAAATTAACTGAACATAGTATAAAAGTCTATAATGAACACCAACAACTGTTTCTTGAGGTCCAATGGACCTTCTACGTTTGGCAACATGAAAGTCCTGAACAGGGTTAAATATAAAGTCCTCCATGGAAATAGAACAAGCATGACTAGATGGTCAGTGAACTCAGAAATGTCTTCTGAGTCCACTTAGAATGGCATAAATCATTAAAAAAAAACTTGAAAAATGGTTGCTCCGTATGACTATAAGATGTTCCACCATCATGTAGAAAGATATTTCATCATCAGATGTAGAAAGATGTTCCACGATGGTGGATGCATCTCCACCAACTGGCTCCTCTTTTCACTGTTTCTGAGCCATGCTACATTAATGTATTTGATCCTGTAGGTTTTATACGAAGGTCTCGGGGGGGATTTAAGGTTTATCAAAATGAAACCATGTGAGAAGTTTACAGGGTTTAAAGTCGGTATTTGTTCGAGCTGTTTGAGTGAGAACTCAAAATCTACAGCTGGGTTTTTAAGAAAAATGGAAAAAAAATTAACTGGAATCAACCAGCAAGTATCTTGAAAAGCGTTTTATTATTATTATTATTGTTATTACAACACTGGAACAAACTGCCCCCCTACATACTGCAGATATTTCAGTATCCATGGTCGTCTCCTCTCTGCTCTGTGGAGACACACCGTCTGCAGTTCATCCCGAAAACAGCCGAAAAACTCACGACGTCTCAGTTGCGCCGCAGAATAAAGTAATTTTGACGAAATATCACAATTTCAAACTCAAACGGTTCATTTTCCAAACAGTTTTATTTCTGATAAGTTCAAGGACCGCTGGAAAAAACTGAAAATCTGACAATTCTTTAGAGTTTCTGGCTGATAATTGGTGGCATTTTTTATTTTTTTTACCTTTAAAGGAGCAGCAGTGAGATCATCAGTGTTTCCCTTCATCCACAGCACATATAACATCACTTATAAAGGCAGCAGCTTTTCTCTGAAACCAAACTTCTGTGGACTCTCTCCAGATATCAGCTGTTGCAGAATAATTTAGGTGTTTGGCAGCTAATTAGGGGACATTTTTCTGTCTAGTTTATGTCCGATTAGATGCAAACTGCACCTTGTTGCGTCTTATTAGCGCACCGGAAAATAAAGCGACTGCTTCAGTGAGCTAATGAGTAAAAGTGAGAAATTAAACCTCGTTTAAAATCACAATTTTCCCTTCATGACTAAATAAGCTGCTGCTTTTTTGGTATCTTGCAGGTGAAATGTTGAACTTTTGCTTGTTTTGCTTCATCCAAACCTCCAACATTTATTACCAGAGCGACCTCTCCGGCTCTTTCCTCCCCGTGCATCTGTTCGGTCGGCCCTTCCCAGCCTTTCTCAGCTCGTGACCCCTTAAAATGAAGCAGCTTGTGCTATTTCTAAACCCTGAGAGTTCAAAGTCTGCGGCGTTTCTGAAGAAAAAGAAGCCGTACTTTGCTTTTTCCCCTCGTCTTGCTACCATCTTGGGATCTCTCAGATGTGTCTCGGTATCCACAGGGGGTCCCGAACCTCCGGCTGGGAACAACTGCACTTTGAAGTCGGAATGATTAGTTCTCTCTCTTTTTTTTTTATTTTTCACACATTTCTTTTTTTTTTTTTTGTTCTTTGTTCCTTGGTGCCATTAAGTAATTTGTAAAACCCGAGAAGGATGATTGATGTGTAAATGGCTGCGTTCATTATCTGCTTTAACCACATGTCACATCGCAGCTGCATCGCGCTTTTATCTCCACGAATCACAGCGAGCGCGATGCGTCGTTAGCGTTTCATTGTCTGTGGCTTATTGTGGTTTCAGGAGAATTAAATCTCTGTATTTTAATTGTACTGTGCAGGAAAAAGGCAGCGTTTGTGAAGTCATACGGATCGAGCTGCAACTTTTTTTGTGTTTTTTTTTTGTTTGTGCTGGGAACAAAAAATGTCGGATTTAAAGTCTGATTTGTGGTTTTATTTTCACTTTATGTCAAAGACACAGAGTTTGTTGACCTGAAGGAGATTTAGCTGCAACAGGAAGTCAACTTTATGGAAATATTTCAAGTACAGGAGGAATAGTATGACCAGAAACAAAGTTGGTTATGACAGAACCTCTGCAGAAGCAAATAAATGCAAAACGTTTTATTTTCTGTGCATTTCGATGAACGATTAATTCTTTGCAGCTCGAGTTTCTGCCGAGTTATTTCACCCCAAATACAGATTTCTGTGCGGGTTTTAAAGGTTTTTTTTGTGGCTCTCTCAGCATTTTCTAACAAGCAGGCGACAGTTTTAAAGGTTTATTCCACTCAAAACTAGTTGCTTTTTATTGCCAGCATCTGTGGGATGAAGGAGCTAAAAAGCAAGCGGTCGCCGTGTTATCTGGTCCAAATAAACACGAGATAATGAAAACAAGGGTCCTAGAAATCTGGTCCTCACAATGCAGCACATTTTTTGGGGGAACAGTTGGTTAATGTTTCAGGATTTTGCCTTTTTTTAGTGTGTTTTTTCTGCCACACTTGATTTTTTATTCTTATTTAGTTGGAGTTTTTTCAACCTATTTTTTGAGACTTCCTCAGCATTTATCCGTCCGTGTTGATTGGCTTTCTACAACGTTCTTAGATGAACTGATTTTATAAAAGCAGCTCCTGACTGTACTCCACTGAACCCTCCAGAACCAACCAGCTGACTGTGTGAGCAGCCGATTTGTCAGAAAGTCGGAGCTTCGCTGACTCACGCTTTGGACCGAGCTGCTGTCGCCTTTCGTTGGCCGGTCAGCCGCCTGCACCCACATTGTTCTAAATCTGTGCTGCTGGTGTGGAGGAGGAGCAGCAGTTGGTTGGAGATCAGCTCACCAACAACAGGTGGACGTTAGCACGCATGAAATATCTGCACAGGGTGACTCACGGAGCGACTCCACGGTTCTGAGCCTGTTCTCCTACCTGCTGCAGATCGATTGGTCGGTCCGACCGGCCGTTGCCAAGGCTTCGGCTGATCAATGGTCAGCTTTTATATCGCGCACTCATGAAATGGCGACACACACACACACACACACACACACGCAGAGCGGCGGCCGTTGTTCAAGCAGATCGATGCCGGGCTTTCTTGAACCATTGGAGTGTGTGGCGTGGGCAGAATTATGTTAAATTGATTTTGCAGTTTGTTAGCCGAACGCGGCAACAGAAAGGTCAGACTGAGAGCAGAGGCTGAATCCAAACACATCAATTCTGCGCATAATACAGCAGCCCGGAAGATACAGAACACAATCGGACCGACGGATGGATGGATTACAGACAGCCGGCAACGTCCAGTCACACAAATGAACTTTTCTTCTGCAGTCAAACCGGGAAAATTCACGAACGAAGCAAAACTGGTGGCGCAAACACCAGTCAAAAATCAAGCTTCTCCTGATTGTGAGGGTGCTTGGTTGTCTGTCTCTAAGTGTGGCCCTGTGATAGACTGGTTACCTGTCCAGGTGAACCTGCCTTCGCCCTAGTCGGCTGGGATAGACTCCAGCCCCCCATGACCCTAGTGAGGATTAAGGTGTATAGATAATGGATGGATGGATTATATGAAAGATTTTTTGTGTGTGTGTTTTAACTGGTCTGCCCTTATATAGCACAAACATACACCTTTGGCGAAAAAGCCATTGGGGGCAGCTTTGGGTTCTTGCCCGAGGACACGTGGAGCAGCAGGGGATTGAACCGCCAACCTTGCGATCGGTGGAGCGGTGGTTTGTGCACAAGACAGGAAGACAGGAAGATGGTGTTGATCTCCAGAATCGTACCTTTACCTACTGTTCGTTAAACAGGCTGTAATACCACAATAGTATGTGTATACCTTGTTCCACTACCTTGAGGTAAAAGGCGTTCGGAGCGTCTCTGATGGATTTTTGTCTGTACGACTGGTTAAAATAATGTCTCTGGTCAGACTGAGAGCAGAGACTGAATCCAAACACATCAGTTCTGCCTGAAAGACACAAAACACAGTCAGACAGATGGATGGATAGATTACAGGTGGATGGATGGATCCGTCAAGAAGCAACAATAGGTCACGGAAATTAACGTCTCTTCTGCAGTCAAACCAGGAAAATTCACAGATGCATTGATGATCAGTAGCATTAGCATAACTGGTAGCGTACCTTTGTGAAATAGATTTTGAATCTCAATGGGACTTCCTGGTTACATAAAGGTAAATAAGACCGATAATAAGCATAAACACCAGTCCTTAAGTTGACTACTATCAACAATCAAGCTTCTCCAGCTGGGTTCTTTTTTTAAAATAACATTATTTAAAAGGATTTTTCATGTTTTAAATGGCTTATGCAGCATATACATATACCATTGGTGCTGCCATGCAAGGTGTCCGCCTGCCATCGGGAGCAACAGTGTCTGCCCGAGGACGTGTGGAGTAGCAGAGGATTGAACCAAAAACCTTGCAATCAGTGGAAAGGGGGTCAATGCACAAGACAGGAAGGCAGGAAGGTGGTGTTGATCTCCAGACTCACACCTGTAATGCAAACGTTGCTGCTGTTCTGGAAACAGGCTGTAATATGATAACAGTGTGTTTATACCTTGTTCCACCACCTCGAGCTAAAAGGCGTTTGCAGCCTCTCTCATGGATTTTTTTTCTGCACGATTGAGGGAAAATGTCTCAGAATCAAAATGTTAGCTTCACCTGACAGCAGTTCATCTACACATTTTATTTCCTCCTTCTGAACCGGAGATTGTCGACCAATGAGAACGTGTTTAGATTCGAGCACATTAACCAGCCAATCAACCTGCAGCCTTATAAATGACTAGAATCTAATTCCATGTGTCCCACATTGAGAGGAGGCAGGTAAAATCTTGTCTGCATTCGGTTTTTTAAAACTGCAAACCTATTGTCGGCTCATTTTTCCTTCTTTACCAGGTTAAAGTGTGACATGTGTTCTTGCCTTCCTGCTCCTCGTCGTCGCTGCATTAGCTTTTTAACAGCGTCGTGCAGTCGAGCTCACCTTCCAGGCTGGATAATAGGATGTAATGATGCCAGTTTACTCAAGTGATTGAGTTTAACTCCCCCGGCAGAAATGTTAGCAGCGACGTGGGCTGAATCCCGCCTCCAGGTGTGGATGTGATATAACGAGGGGACGGCGGCGACGGCGGCGTTGTCACGGCGCCGCATTCGCTTTACATTAATTGGCAGAGTTTTCTCAACGAGAGGCGTCGTAATGAATCACGGACTCAGGCGTCGTCGGGAGTTTATTTAAAGCGAAGGATGCGTTTCTTCCAAATGAGTCCTTAATTCACATCTGCAGTCTGGTTACAGCTTCGTATCTGAACACAAACACGGAGACTTAATCACGTTACTGGATGAAACTTTCCTCGCAGAAGTAATTTGTCTTATTTCTGAGAGGGAACATGATATCCTCGGTGCCATCTCGTTGTACTTTCTGCACGTATTCCTCCGACCGGGGCCTCGGTGAGATCAGTACGTTTGCAATAATTGTATTTTAATGCAGAGATCTTCCACCAGGATCAGATGCAGCAGAGCCGCCGTTTTATCTGTGATCGTCCAAACCAGAAACAAAGTCCACGGCTGCTTGCTTCCCATAGATTTCTTACAGATATCGGCACCTTGAATGTTGAGGTCAGCAACACTAGTGTTCTGGAAAAAGCACCGCTTCAGCAACAAATGAGATCCATAACGGTTATCGGACGACGCGAACAAAAAAATGTGCCGCTATCGGAGGGAAAGGGCAAAGCGCCGGGCCTGATTTTACACACTGCAGTTTGTTTTATTTTTTATTGTTGCTGCTGTTGTGTTGTTTTTTCTGGTGTAGAAGTTTCCCAGAGGTTTTGTACCAAAGGGATCAATAAAGTTTTATTTTAATTCTATTCTAATTCTAATTATCCTCAGACTGTGAACATGAGAGTCACCTCGTGGAAACGGTTGTTCTGTTCTTACATGTGGGCTGTAGGGAGGAGGTCTGGGTGGAGGTCTGGGTGGATGGTGGGCGTACAGTGCACCGTATGGTGGTGTTAAATCCTCCAGGCTTCATCAGAGCAGCTCAATAATGTGCATCTAAAGATTTAAATGTTTGCATTTTAACCCCTTTCACACACATTTCTGTTCATCTGACATACATACATGATGCATAAAATCCAATAAAACCTCCTTCTTGTTAATTTGCTCTACGATTTGGCACATGTTCATAAAAATACAACTTTACTGCCAGTAAAACAAAGTCTGTCAGATTAATGAGCCTAACAGGAGCTGAAGGTTGGTTTGTGTTGCTCCCAGCTGTTTAGGATTATTTCCTCTGAGTTTATGATCCAAACAGCTTCACACATTCACACAAAACCTCATCAATTAGTTCTAATTAAAAATCAAATGACCTCTGACACGGAGAACAGGTGAAACAGGTGAGTCCCAGTTTATCAGCTGCAGGTAAATCAGTTGTTGCGTCGTCCTCAGTCATAAACAAACTGGGCTGTTAGTCAGTTTATTTGTGTATTATTCTGTATTATACATCATTGAATTTCCCTTCTGGGATAAATAAAGTATTTTTCATATCATTTCATTTCATCATCTGTCCAAACGTTTCTGACTGAAGCTGTGAGGAACGTTAACGTGACCTGTTCAGATTTACCAGGTCGGTAAACAGCTGAGATGAAAACCAGCAGCAACTCCTCAGAAACTCTGATTATTAATATATATTTGTAATCTTTTAGAATCCACTGATCAAAATAATCAAAACACTTTTTCATTAGAATTATTCTGAGTCGTGAGCGTTGTTGTGTTCAGTTCATCGCTCAAAGTCTGAAAACTTTACTCAGCAAATAAACAACAAAGAAAATGTTTCCTCCACAGTGTTGTTGATTATATTTATTCTCATTAGTGTTTCGGGGTCACAAAAGTGGCACAATGAGGCTTTTTGCTGATTCTCAGGTAGATTTGTTTACACCAGTGACTCTACACAGTAAAAGGCCCGTAGATGCCTTCATGTCGGGTCGAAAGATCTGGTTTGTGGTGAATTTCATGGTTCTGACATGAAGCACGTCTCAGATATCGTTATTCAAAAGAGACGTATGAGGACGTGTTTGAACGACGTAGCTGAGGTGGAGTTTCATCCTCCTGCCAAACAAGCACATTAACAGGAACTAGAAGTTGTCGCCTTCAAAATAAAGTCTAGCAAAGGCATTCTGGAGTAACAGTTGTTCTATTTGGCAAAACCAAACGGATGAAAATTCAACTGAAAGGAAGAACAGTGGTGGTTTCAACATGCTGTGAGCTGCAAGTCATGAAAGACTTTTTCTGTGTTTCATCAGACTGCTTGATTTCCTTCATTGTGACCAACAATTTAAGAAAAAATCCCCCCAAAAATGGTGACAACGGTGGAATATCAAAAACTGTAAAAACCTGTAAAAATAACAGCAAATATCTGTGAATTAAAGCCGTTATTAGCTGATTTAATACAGTTCAACGATGTAATGTTACAGTCCTGCATCGTAAAAATACAGAATTTTGATGTTATTTTGAGTTTTTCCTGTTTTTCTACATGTAAATTAATACTTTTTGCTCTGTGATCACAGCAGATGTTATCTGTAATTTAACAAAACATGGAAAATCTGTAGAATAGCAGTCTTTCAAACAACAACATATATTTGGAAAATAATTATATTTTTAAGTGACTTAAATACAATTAAAAAAAACTGTCATTTCAGTGTGTTTATAGGTAACATGCAATTAATTTTTTCTCTGTGAATTTACAAACAAGTAAAATCAGTAAAATAACAAAAAAAGTTTGAAAAAATTACGTTTCAAAACGGTTTAAAACCTATACAACAAAACAACTTGCTAATGCTTGTACCATTTTAAAACATGTCAGGTGACATTAGAAATACAGTTTTATCCTCATGTTGACATTAAAAAAAAACACAATTTGTGCAACATTTATTAAAAAACACACAAAAGCTTTTGTGTATTTATATATATATATATATATTTTAGCACTGATTAAAGAAAAAACATAATTTTTGCAGCACCTGTTTTAAAACATTTTGCTTCGTCCATATGTAACCTTATCGTCTCTCTTCCTGTCCTCAGCTCTCTCCACCAATGAGCAGCCAGACCAACGGCGGGGAGGCGGTCCCCGCGTCTCGGTCCAATCAGAGGTCGTTTCTGGATGACATCATCCTGACCTTCAGCTCCCCGATGGCCTGGCTGCTGGTGGTGGCTCTGGTCATCACCTGGTCGGGAGTCGCCATCGTCCTGTTCGACCTGCTCGACTATAAAACTCTGGCAGGTAAACATCATCCAGCTGCTCTACTTTCATCTTTTTATAGAAGTTAATGCTCATGAAACTCGTCATTTTTACCTTCAACGAATATTATAATTCATCTAAATGTGATTATAATGTGTTTACGACACTGACCCACATCTCAGCCACACGTCCATGCTCATGTTTCCAACAACCCACCAGACATTTTTGAAGCAAACTTCAAAAGTGATCTCATTACATTTGTCGTTTTCAACAGCGTCCGAGTGTCAAGACGCCGGAAACGCAGTTTTATTCTCAGCACACGTTGATAATATCTGCTGCGTTTCCAGCTCACTTGACAGACGGATGCTTTGGAAACGACGGTTCACACGTTAAAATCAGTGTACTACGTCCCTCTAACGGGACCTGTACACCGGCAGAACGGATTCAAAGGACATTTACTGGTGTTGATGCGTACACAGATTAAAGCCACAGGGGGTCGATGACGACGCTGAGTCATGAAATGAGGCGTTTAAGGGCTGAAATGTCCAAAAAAATTAAAAAGAAATACAAAAATACTGCCATAAAACTGTTGTATATGAATATTATTTTACAGTTTCTGACCAACATCAGTCTGAAGCTTCACTAAACAAACATTATTTAATTTTCAGGTTTGTTTACATGAAGCCGCTGAAGATTTTAATGAAAACTAAACTGTAACTCACCTAATGATTAATTATTCTCAATATAATAAGTTTTTATTTCCCTCCACAGCCTGAGTTAACGAGTAGCTATTTATTGTGCCGTGTTAGATCAAAGAAACAAATAAAGACCTTTATATTAAGGGTTGATTTTGTGAAACAATATTCATATAATCGATGCTATATAGTGGATTATTTTAAAATTATTATTATAATTATCACAGCCTTGAATATACCAGTGATTAGAAACAACATTGTGCCATGTGATTAAAAAATAAACAGCAAAAAAAAGTTTTTGGTAAAACTGTTCTACAAACAAACAAACAAACAAACAAACAAACAAACAAACAAATAAATAAATAAAACATTCTTAAAGCAATGTTTAAAAAAAAAAAAAAAGAAAAAGAAAAAGATTTCATACCAGGACAAAATTGTGCATGTCAAAAAAAAAAAAATGCAATAAAGCCTTTATATATTAAGAAATATTCAGTTTGAGCTGATCAATATTAAACACAAATAATAATAATTATTTCCATATAATCAGTGCTATAAGTGGATATATGTCAATGAGGAGCAACAGCATTGATTCTAATGAAGTATTATTATTATTATTATTATTATTATTATTATCATTATTGTTTTAAATCAACACTTTAGAACTTAAGGACAAAACAACTCTCTGTAAATGACAGAACAGAGCATTAGACTGAATACCTTCCATGTAAACAGTGTTTTATGATCGTGCCAGTGTGGGATTTGTCCGTCTGCTCCGTTATTATCTTTAATTCAGTGTTGATGCTCGTTTCTAATCACCTGGTTTGCATCAGCGGCCTCCACAGCAGCTCCTTTGTTGTCTCCCGCTTCTAATCTTGTTATCTCCGTTTCTCCACTTAATTGTCTCGAGTGATCACATTTTGTTTCCTGTGATCCCGCTTTAATTACTTCGCCGTCGCCAGATAACGGAGGAGCGAGTTTCCCCGAGATCGCGGCGACGTTATTGATTAATTAAGAGCCAAAGGCGGCGCTGGAGATCCGTCCTTCAAACGCCGTCTGTTCTACTGAAGACTGTTCGGAGGTTCTGTGATCAGGACGAAGAACCCGTTAGTTCACATCGACACGCAACGAGACGAGTTGATTCATACCCGTTAAATCTCCAAAATGTGGAAAAATCAGAGGCCGAAGAAGTTCTACAGGTTCTACGAAAGTAAAGGGAACACTGGCACCATGTAGAACCACTGAGTACAAGAATAAGGTTATGTTCTATGATCACAAAGGAGGAACGTTCTCAAACCAGCATCGATGTTAACGAGGCCTCAGATGACAGATCAGCAACGTTCTTTAAATTTTGATGTATGAAAGGTGGAACATTTTTGTCTTTGTGTTGAGGGAACATTTATAGAACGTTCTTCTGTCAGACGTTTCCACAGCGACAACAGAAGAAGGACGTTCTCAATACAACATTCACAGACGTTCCTGTACTGCGATATATATCAACAAAGGGGGAACGTTCTGGCTGAAATGTTCTGAGGATGTTTTGTGGATGCTGTTGTTGAGGGAACACATTGTAGAATCTGTAACACGTTCCCTCAACGTTCAAACGAAGGAAGAGCGTTCTCAGTGCAGCGTTCAGTTTTGAGAACACTGGAGCATTGGAGCTAAACATCTTTAGCAAGTATGGAACGTTCCCACAACATTGGACAATCTACAAGTTCTAAGATTTTTCTTTTTTTTTTTTTTTTTTTAAGAAAATGTTTTCATCAAATGTTGAAAGAACATTTAAGGTACAAATGTTCTACGATAACAAATGAGGAACATCCTCAAAGCTACGTTCCAAATATGTTTTCCGCATGTTACGGAGGCCTCATAAAATGTTCCTGTCATGAGATATATTTATAACAAAATGTTCTTGCTGCAATGTTCTGAGGATGTCTGGGGAAGTTCTTGAGGGAACACCTCACAGAGCACAAAACGTTCTCTAAGTGTTCCATGAAAAAAAAAAAAAAAAGCAAGAAGGTTCTCAAACCAACATTCAAGAAGTGTTTTCCAGATGTCATCAGGGTCTAAGATCACAGAATGTTTTTCTATAGAATGTTTCTGTAATGTGACATATAAAAGATTTTTGTTTAGAGAACCCACATGAGAACGTTCTTCTATAAGATGTTTCCACAAAGAGGAACAACACAGGACGGACGTTCTGAATGCAACCTTAAAGACATTTGTTTAATCAGTACGTACTGGTCAGGTCGGGTGTTTCCAATAAGATTTCATCCGTAAATAGGATTTATTTAGATTTCTGTTCCTATGTTCCCGACATGTAGTGACAAACTGCTCCTTTAGAGAACCTCTAGAACCCATTAACCTTCATCATCAGCCCACAGTGGATGAACTTCAGTGAATAAACCTCAAAGGTCAAACTTCTCCTGCACACAAAAGGAAGTGAGTCCCAGTGTGGGTTCAGCTAATTCACTGCCGTAATGACCTTTCTATCCGTTCTGCTTGCATCATCACTTCTCCACCACATTCTCCACCACCACGTTCTCCACCACCACGTTCTCCACCACCACGTTCTCCTGCACCATCACCATGTATGTGATAGTCTCTCATCTCTAACTCCTCTATTCTCCATCCTCACGCCGCCCATCACCTGCCATCCCATCCAAAGACTACACGTCATACTGTGACGACCCCGTGTGTTTATCTCACGGTAAACAGAACCACCTCCACAGCAGAACCACAGTTTGGACGCACTGCTTGGTCGTGGAACGCTGCATGCGACAGTCTAACCTGTGATCTGTTTCAAGGGTAAATCAGCACTAAAGCAGAACAAAACCACCGGCCGAGAGACAGCAAACGTCTTTCTTCTGCCCTGAAAGGTTCATTTACTTCAGGTTCTTAGATGTTCCTCAGATTTCTGCAGCATGAAGGTTCCGGTTCTGCAGGACTGATGGATTCAGTGTTGATTTACCTTTGTAGCATCAGCAGGCAGGCAGGCGGGGAACGGGGGAACGTTCCCACAACGCTGGATAACGCTACCTGCATGTTCTAATAATGTTTTTGAAGAAAATGTTTTAATCACATGTTCAACAGAAAGCAGACAATGTTCCACGATAACAACGGAGGAACGTTCTCAAACCAACAGATGTTACTGAAGCCTCAAAGGATTTTTATAAAAAAGTTCCCGTAATGTGATATAATAACAAAACTGGAACATTCTAGATGTAATGTTGTGAGGTCGTTCTTGAGGAAACATATCACAGAACGTTATTCTATCACGATGTTCCATGATAACAAAGACGGAACGTTCTCCAACTGACAGTCAACAAATGTTTTCCAGATGTTGTTGAGGCCTCGGGTCACATTTCTGAGGATGTTTTAGAGATGTTCTTGAGGAACACATTAGAGAATGTTCTTCTGCAAAACATTCTCACAATGTTTTATGTTAACAAAGGAAAAAACCGTTCTCCAAACAACGTTCCAAAAATGTTTAGGAGACCCCACATGACAGAGCATTTTTTGTAGGATGTTCCTGTACTGTGACATATAAGGAAATGTTCTCATCAAACGTCTAAGAACATTTTAGGAACGTCATCTCAACACCGAATAGGTTCCATGATAGCAAAAGAAAATGTTCTCAGTGCAACATTCAGCAAATGTTTTCAAGATGTTGTTTAGACCTCAGGTGACAGAACGTTCTTTATTAGATGTTCCTGCGCTGCGATGTATTAACAAAGGGGGAATGTTTTGCTGCAGTGATCTGAGAATGTTTTGGGGATGTTCTTTAGAGAACACTTTGAAGAACATTCTCCTATAAAACGAAGCCTCAGATGACAGAATATAAATAGTTTTTGTGTTTTGACGCATTAAAATTTGAGGCTGTTTTTTAAACGACAATATCTCAGAAACTGTTAAAGATAAAAACATGAAATCTTCACGGTTATTTTTCACCAAATCATCGATTCAGAATCTGTAATATTGGACAAATAGATTAAACATTCTCAGATTATGGATAAGTTGAAATGTTTAAAAAACAAAAAGGAAAACATCATGAAAAGTCCACATTTTAACACTTTTAAACTATAATTTTAAAAAATAATTTATTGTCAAATTACAGATTTTTCCACTTTTGTAAAATTACAAATAATAAATGATGAAATGACAGGAAAAGAAAAGAATGTACGTGTAATTTGTTAGGTGTTTTAGTGCTTTATGCAATTTTATATGTTTAACGTATCATAAATATTCTTATTTCTTCATAATATTTCTTTAATATGTCTGTATTTTTTAGCTTTTATTCATTTTAAAGGAAGAAAAGATACCACAGAGTTTGTTTAAATGTGACTCCAACAAATCAGCAGTTTATGATAAATGGAATAATATGTGCAGTTTAGCAGATTTATTCTCTTATGACAAATACATCCCATAAAGTCCCTGAATCAGACTTTATTCTTTATTTCATGCAGACGAGTCCAGAAAGTTGCACATCTTCTTATCCGGGCCTCGTAAACGTCGAGCTCAAAGAGCCGCCGTCCTCTGGAACTTCTCTGTTATCTTCCATTTCCTGGAGCAAATATTTGCAGGAGACAAAAAGCCGAACTGCATTTTTAATCACAAAGCTTCTTCTCTCGCAGCACGACGTCTCAAAACGGACCCGAGCCTGAACGTGGAACAGCAGGGGACGGGTTGTTTTTTTTGGACATTAAAGAAGAAAATTCAATTCTCACTGCTGCAGCAGAACAAAGACAGTTTTCTTTTTTCATATTACTCATGTTATGGGAACATAAAGCAATATAATTCATTAAATTTCAGCGTGGTTCGAGGTGAGACGAGGACGCGGCAGGAAACCAACCAATGTTCTCTGAGAAGATGGAAACACAACGAGGCAGATATAGAAACACAGATACAGAAAAATACAGTAATTCAGAGGAGATTAAAGCCGAGAGAATAAAACGCAGCAGGACGGAGAACACGCAGAGAACAAAAAACCCGCTCTGGCGGAAATAAACTCGTCCTTAATGCAAGTTATTATTCTTCAAAAAGGGGAAAACGCGGCGACAGAAGCAGATTCAGTGTTTGTTTGAATGTTAAAACTGCCTCGATACGAGTCACAGAGAAGGAAACCTGGGCATCTTTTAGCTTCTCTGCGTCTCTTTAAACCTTTTCTTCTCGTTTCTGCAGCTCAGTTTGTGTTTTTCATCATGTTTTGTCGTTCAGCATCACCTGAACTACAAAAACAAAGAACACGAAAGCAGGACGCCGATGAGGGAAAAGAGATTAAAAGAGGGAAACAATGCGGTTAGCGCTTTAGCAATGAACGTGCTAATCTGTGTGTTCCTCAGAGGGAAACGCCTGCAGTGGATTAAACACCGTCTGCAGCTTTGGGACGGTTTTCTGTCGTCGCAAAACTCTCCTGCAGTTTGGTGCAACGTGAAGCTAAAGTAGCACAAGTTAGCTCAGATTTAGAGGATAAAAAAAAGTGAACATCTGGAGCTGAAGGTCCACCTGAAAGCATCAGGTTCCTTCAGCTCCACCGTCTCTGGTTCATAAACTCTGGATATTTAAATTGGTATCTGTGAAATTTTAGCTTCATTTCATAAATACTTTCCAATACTTTTTAAAAAGCTGCGATATTTATAAAAAAATTCAAGCTGCCATGAAACGTCCCATGAATTTAAACTGACTGTCTGAGATGTGAAACTGTCAAGCAAAGTGAAAGAAAAGGTGTTCTGTGTCTTTTGTTCTGTGTCTTTTGTTCTGTGTCTTTTGTTCTGTGTTTATTTGGACCAGCGTTGGTGCTGAAACCTTCGAATCCCTTCACTCGGCTTCACACTCGTACGTGTTCGTCCATTAATCGGTGTTTGTTGGAGGTCGGAGGTCAAAGTGTCCCACTGAGGAGGTTCTCCTGATGAATTAAAGAACTCCACAGACCCAGACGGAGGTTAAAGCACAGAGCGGCCGGAGCTGTTCTCTGGTCTGCCAGGTTCCATAAACAAAACACTGGCAGGGAACGTTCACGGAACGTTACCCACAAGTCGAAGAAAACGTCTCGATCAAATGTTTACAGGATGTTTTTGTTTCCAATAACGTTCCTATAATATTAATATAATGTTTTAATGTCAGAGGATGTTGTCAGGAACACAAACGAAGAACAAACCAACATTCAAAAAATGTTTTCCGGATGTTATTGAGGTCTGAGATACCAGAACGTTGTTTCCACAGAATGTTTTTATAACGTTCCTGTAACGGGATGTCTTTTTGTTGAGGGAACACTTTATAGAACGTTCTTCTATAAGACGTTTCCACCATGAAAACAAAGGACGGATGTTCTCAGTACGACACGAGAAAAAAATGCTTTCAAGATGTTATCGAGGCCTCAGATGGCAGAACATTCAAACGTTAAAAGAATGTTTTACGGGAAAATGTAATTTGTGTTGACGATGTTCAACACAGATTATGTTCCGTGACGATAAAGGAGGAACATTCTCAAAAATCTTGGTGTTACCAAGACCGCAGATGGCAGAACGTTCTTTAGAAAAAGTTCTTGTTCTAACAAGTTCTAATAGTTTTCAAATGTTAAAAGAATGTTTTAGGGAAATATGATTTGTTTTGTTGATGTCAAAAACAGATGATGTTCCGTGATGACAACGGAGGAACGTTCTCAAAAATCATGTTACCGAGACCTGATGCGACAGAACGTTCTGCATGTTACAACAAAGGTGGAACATTCTGGCTGCAGTGTTCTAAGGATGTTTTTGGGATGTTGTTTGGAGAACGCATTATAGAATGTATAAAACGTTCCCACCACGCTACCACGATAACAGATGAGGAATGTTTTTCTTGACTTGAGAACAGTCTAACAACGTTGTCACCAAACACTGTTAGAACGTCTTTGGTTATTCCAGATTTCCAGACAACATTTTGGGAACTAGAAGCAAATGTCCCGCTTAAAACATTAGTAGAACTTTCTTAGAACATTTACAGGAACAGAAAAGTTGGGTTTTGTTGTTGTTTTCTGACAAGCCGCTGCTTCCAACGTGTTTGTCGGTGAATGTTTTGGTTAAAGCTGCATTTTTAAAGCCTGGAATGAATAAAGTTTGTAGTGACGCTGCTTCGTGTTCACAGACGATGTCAGAGGAGGGAAACCAGGTAAAAACCTCTCCATTCTGATTTAAATGCTGCTTGTTGCTGTTTGTTGCTGTGATCTGCATCGTGTTCGGTATTAAAACTGTGTGTTTTCCTTTGTTTTTATCACATTTGCTGCGTTAAAGCCATAAATCTAACCCTGAATGTGAGTGAGGACATAAAACATGCAGTGAGATGAGCTGAAGGCTGCTGACGTTGGTTGTTCTCCTGGTTCTCTCGTCGTTTGCCTTTTTGTTCGTCTCTCAGCGTCGTCGAATCACGTTTTCATTTTTGTTTTTCTCCTTTCAGGTCTTCCTCCTCCGGCTGCCATCGCCAAGAGAGGCCTGAAGGCCAGAGGCAAGCACAACCGTCGTCTTTGTCGCATTTATTACAGCATTTAGCGCTGCAGTCGCTTGTAAACTCAGCGAGACCTGCAGGGAGATAACGAAGCTCTGTAACGGCTGCATGGTGTGACGAAGATCTAACACCTACACGTGTGCTTCACATACAAACAGAACATGAGTCTGTATAAATAATGATGGCAGGAACCTCATTTAAACACACAGTCTACAAATATCCTCTAAAACTACTGAAGGGGAGATAAATACGTGGATTTTACTGATTTGTTTTGGTGCATTTAAATGATGAAAAGTCCTGATGGTGTAGTTTTGGATGCATTGGATAACTTTGTTTCCAAGTTGTTCAAGAAAATGTTCATGACCAATAATGTTCCTCAAAAGTTATTATAATGTTTTGATGTCAGCATTCAGAGGATGCTTCAGGAACACAGACATTCAAAAAAGGCCTCAGATGACTTGATATAAAATTGTTTTAAACACTTTTAACCGTGTTAACGAAGGTGGAACAACCAGCCTCCGATGTTTTGGGGACGTTCTGGTTCCACTTTGGGGTAACGTGACGTTCTTTTCCTCTTTTCACGCTAAGTTTTGATCAAAAAGCGACTAGAAGGTTCTCCGTGCACAACCTCCCAGCTAGCATCCACTGTAGCCGGCATGTGAGACGTTTAGGGAACATCTGTAAATCGTAGCGTCCTGTTCAGCCAGTGAGAAGTTCTGGTGAAGTTTAATTGAACCTCTAGAAGAAGCTCTGAGCTCAGGGTGAGACTATGTTAAGTCTCACTCTGAGGCAAAGCGGTGAGTAGCGTAGCACAGCATGGACGTGAAGGCAGCGATCTGATTAGCCAGATTATTGTTGCCCTCCTATAATCAATTATCTACATATTGATTTGAGTTATTCTGATCATCATTTTGGCCCTGAATGTGCAGCTCTGCTTCCCAGAGATCCAAGTCAGTTCTTACGATTCAATTCAAAACTCGACGATTCGGCGTGAACACACTTTGCTGCGTTCAATGTGCCTCGGAAATGACATGTCTGGACACAACCTGCACAAAGTAGAGAAAATAACACGACTGCCTCCTCGTTTGTTGTCACTGTCGGCGATGCAAAGCTGAAATATTCACATTTTAGCATCGTGTTTAACGTTTAGTCACAGCTTTAGCTTCAGTGAGTTTTAGTGACGATGCCTTTGTGGGTTTTTTTAGTTTGTAGTTTTGTTTTTTGGGTTCATAATCAAAGCTCTTCTCCTTTCGTTGCGTTCGTCGCTCTTCATTGGTTTCACCTGCGTCTGCTTTTTTGCCGTCGGCCGTCCGGTATAAATCTCCCCCTCGTTTCTTTCTGTTCACCTTCCTTTCAATGAATTTGTTCCATTTGTCGACATTTGTTCCTGAGCTCTTTATCTGCCTTCGGTTCGCTGACAAGAAAAGGTGTGTTTGGATCGAAGGTCGCCTCATCTGAAGTTCAGTCCTTCAGTCGAAACATTTAAGCTAAAGTCAAACAGAAGGAAGATAAACTGATCCTTAAAGCGGAAATTTACTGATAAAAAGATAAAAACCAAGACACTTAATACAAAAACAGAATAAAGACGTTTCGATATGTTAAACGTTAGATGTGTGATGTGGGAGTCGAGGTGTTTTGTTTTACTTTTGCTCTCAGTTGCAGCCAAATGCAGACTTACATGCTTTCATTTTCATATAATTCTAATATTTTATTATTTATTTGGCTTAACGAACATTTATTTAAATCAAAGTCTGTGTTTTTGTTCATGCAGCGTCACATAAATTATACGTTACATCAGAAATCCCAAAGCAAAGCTTCTGCTCTCTGAGGATTGCGTCAAACTTTTACTGTATTTCATCGTAGGTGGGATTCGTCCAATCAGATCGAGCCCCGCCGTGGTCCCCGCTGACATCGCGGCGGAGGAGAGCGCCGATTGGCTGGAGATGATGTGGAGCTTTGCAGCCAGCCTGGTGGCTCCTGAGGAGGAGGAGGAGGAAGGTATTCAGCAGCTAACCGAAACGCTCACATGTAAGAGAACCATCAGCTCACACTCATCAGCCATCCGCCCATTAACCGCCAGTAACGACTAACGTTCCCCGTCGACGCCGTTAACGCTCGCCGACTAACGGAACCATGAAGATCCATTTAAACACCAGACACTGGGAGGACGAGCATAAACGTTGCAGAAGAACTGTTCCGGAAACGTTCCCACAACATCGTCACCTAAACAGTTCTAGTAGTTAGTCTAAAGATGTTTCATTCAAATGATAAAAGAACATTTTCAGAAAAACTTTGACAACAAAGGAAGGATGTTCTCAATCCAGCTGAGAGGTCGGATTAAAGAACGTTCTTTAGATGACATTCATGTACTGCGGGGGAACATTCCCACAACATTGAAAACATTCAACAAAAAAAATTTTTTTTTAAATGTTCCTGTACTGTGACATATGAACAAAGGCGGAACATTCTGCTTGCAACGTTTTCTGGGATGTTGTTGAGGGAACCCATAATAGAATGTTCTTCTGCTAAACATTTTCACGATGCTCCATCATGACAAAATGAAAAAAGAACGTTCTCATACCAACGTTCAACCACCAACATTAACGTTCCTGTAATGTGATCTGATAACAGTGGTAAAACGTTCTGATTGCAATGTTCTGAAGATGTTGTTGAGGAACATATAACTGAATGTTCTTGTCACAGACATTGTCACAGTGTTCCTCATACAACATTTAATAAATGTTTTCAAGATGTTGTCAGAACTTCCTTAGAAGACGTTCCTGTGGTGTGATATATTAAAGGCAGAATGTTAAGCTTTTTTGTTGAAGGAACACATCATAGAACGTTCTTCAATAGGATGTTTCCACAATGACAACGAAGGAAAGATGTTCTCCATACAGTTGAGATTTCAGATTATAGAACGTTCTTTTGAAGACGTTCCTGTAATTTGACATAGTAAATGTGGAATGTTTTGTCTTTTTGTTGAGGGAACACATAATAGAACGTTCTAGTAGAAAATGTTTCTACGATGACAACAAGGGAAGGATGTTCTCAATACATTTTCAAGATGTTATCTAGATTTCAGAAAGAACTTTCTTTAGAAGACGTTCCAGTAATTTGATATGATAACAAAGGTGGAACATTCCGCCTGCAGTGTTCTAAGGATGTTCTGAGGATGCAGTTGAGGGAACATGTTATAGACTCTACAGCACGTTCCAACAACGTTCCACAATGTTCCATTTTTAACGAAGGAAGGTGCTTCTCAGTGCAACGGTCCAATAGTGGAATCAGCAAACATTTTTACAACATCTTTGGCTGTTCTACATTTAAGAAGAACATTCCGGGAACTAAAAGAAAACGTCTAGCTGAAAACATTAGTAGAACTTTCTCAGAACATTTTTTGGAACAGTTCTAGCTGGGTAACAGTTAGAAGATGTTCTAACTCAGACCGACGGCGAGTAAAGATGTCTGTGTACGATGAACATGAAGGAACATTTTAAGAACATGTTGAAGGCCAAAGAACCGGCAGACGGAGGGAAAAAGAACTTGTTTGGAATCTGTCGTTTATCATGTAATAATATATTTATATCAATTGATGAACTCTCCCGTTTGTATTTCAGCTTTTCACTCAGAGGAACTTTGAAGGAACCGAGAACGTTGAAGTTGTGGAACAGAAGAAGAAGAAGGAGAAGCAGAGAAGCAGAAGGATGTTGTAAATTATGTCCCCCTCGTGTTATTTTCTGTCTGTTGTTAACTTGGTGAATTAAAAACTCTCCAAACTCAGACTTTGGTTCCTTTTCTTCTGCCGGGCGACAGATTATTTTACATCCCGTCAGAGTCGCTTTAATTTGCATTTTTAGTGTGTTGGAGCCACAAAGAGTCAGAAATCAAACCGCTGCTCTCCATGCTGATGTAATTATTGTATTGTCTGGGTCCTTGTAGCTGATTTTTCTTTGACAAAAGCGAGTGGGAGGAAGAGAAGCGGCTTTCTGTACTTGTGCTTATGTTATATAAGGTTGTGTCTGTGTGTTTTTTTTAAAGTGGATTAAAATTCAAGCAGCGGTTTGCGAATCGCAGCTCAACAACCAACACGATGGACGCGTTATGAAACTCCACCAACAAAGCGTCAGCTGGTTCTCCACAATCTGAATAAAAATGACCGACTGGAGACTTTTCTGTCGTAGAAGCCGACGTTCAAATCAAACCGGACCGCTTCCATTCCCCTCCTGTGTTTCCATTTACCTGCTCGGCGGGTGTTGGAGTCGAGGACGTGGAGCGGGTTTACGAGGGAACAGCGGCGACCTGCAGGCTGGAAGATGAGCGGCGCCGCCGGGGGAGGACGGAGACGATAAGGACCCGGTTCCCCGCGGCGACGCCAAACGAGGAGCTGGAGCGCGAGACGACGGAGGGAGTCGGAGGAGAGTTCTCAGTTGATCCGGAGATAAGGAGGAGACGGAGGAGTTAAAACAGGAAGCTTCACACAACCAGAGCAAAACCAGTGAAAGGAAATGAAAACTTCCAGTTAAGGGCGCAACTTTTAAGCAGTTTCCCAACAATCAGTAATTAATTAATTAAAACGGCTGAAATGAGCGAATCAGCTGTTTTTAACGACTGATGCTTCATGTTGGCAGAAAAATCAGCTCAGTTACATCAGAAC